ATGATCTCACTTATATGAGGTATCTAAAATGGTCAAACTCATCAAGGCTGAGAGCAGAACCAGGTGGCTGGTTGCCAGGGCCTACAGGGTGGGGGACATGGGGACTTGCAATCAGTGAGTATAAAGTTTCAGTTATACAAGATGAATAAATTCTAAAGATCTGCCATACAACACTGTGCCTATAGTTGAACACATAAAAATCTGTTAAGAGGGTAGATCTCATGTTAAGTGTTCTTACCAAAATAAAATTAAAATTAAAATTAAAAAAAAGAATTGAATGCATAGGCTTCTATTTAAAGCAGCACCAGTAAGTCAAAAAATCTTTTTGAAATCCAAAAAACTATCACAAAATGTCAGGTTTATATAGTGTGGCCCACCTAGTGTATTAGTCGAGGTAATTACCTCTCGCTGCTGTTTCACTAAGACTCTCCAAGTCTCAGTGGCTTATAAAAAGTTTAGATCTGGTTCAGGTCAGTCGCCTGCTGATCTGGCAGCTCTCTGGAGCTGCCCCAGGCGGTGACTCAGGGATCCAGTCTCCCGCATCACCATTGTGACATCACCATTCCTTAGGACCTTCTCAGAGTCCCTACCTGGATGTTCTGCATTCAGCAGCCATAAGAGGACTGTGCAGGGAAACTTCTGGCCAGCCTGAGTGTCTCACATGGTCCCAATATAACTATAAGGTAAGTGGGAAATGTTATCTTGCCCCTAACCCATTGAGATGAAACTGTACATCTGAGTCATGAGATGGTTTCTGGTTCAAAAGTAGTTACAAAGGGGCCCTGTCCACTAGGGAATATGCTATATCTTTGTAAATATGGCACTTTATGTATTTACTTTTACACCCCATTTTAAATTTAGACAATATAAATTTTATTGGCAATTCAAAGGGCATATTTATAAAGATATACTCATTGGAAATTTTGCCTTTAGAAAAACACCACCATCCCTCAGCACAGGTCATATAGTTTGAAACCTGCAATCCTCATATAATCAGTGAGGCCAATTTATATCTTATACCTCAATATGAAAACGATTATGTTTGCTTATTGGGTAAAGCACACCCAAACACTGTACCATTTGCTTCTTTGAAGACGTGATGTATTTTCTGGGTGAGATAAACTTAGCATTATCAGGACAAGTCATTTAGAGGATTTGGACTTCATGAGAAGAACCACTTTTAGGGCAACCATTGAAGGGTCTCCTACACTGAAGGTCCATTAAGTTCTTAGAAAACTGACAAATCGCCACTTGACAATGTTTCCTTTGCACTAACACATGGGTAGTTTTCAAGCTGCTAGTATTCTAATTAGGAAAGTTGACATTTCCTTAATTGAAAAGGCTCCTGTAACTAATATTTCACACTGTTAACTATTGGTAAATGACGATCACTTTATTCAGAGCCCATTAAAGAAAGAAATGGTCTGAAGTGATGTTTGCTAGAGGTAACTCCAGTAACACAGAAGAGGTTCATGGTATCAGAAAGCCAAGGATGGCCAGGGTGCTAGGTCCCACACTCATGCTGTCCCAGACAGGTTGGAGGTGTCCCAGGGGAAGCCCGGATTTAAGGGGGACTTGGTCATTTACAACACATATCACATTTTTGAGGACTAAAGAGGAGGTAATGAGTCTTAGCTTTATATCACTTGAAAGCCAGACACCAGCCTCTACCAACGAACATCTTTCGTCCACGCTCTCTCTCCCTGCTATTATCCATTGTCTGGCCGCCTCCCCAGGGACATGTTTTAGCTTTTATCCAGAATTGCTGGACCAAATGAGAGCCCATCGCAGTCCTAGTGCTACTGCACTGCTTCCTTCTCCTTCTTACTGCTCCCGTGGTTTACCCTGACTGTGTTTCCAACTTCCTAAGGAATCCAGTCGAGAGACAGAGAAGAGAGAACAATGTTTTTTGCATCAACATTTAGACTCCTTAAACTTCTTTGCTCCAAATATCTGCTTCACTTCACTTGGGTGCAGGGTCTATTAAGGCTTTCATCGGCCCACGAAGGAAAACATATAAAGATATTAAGATAAAGACATATTACATAAAAACATAAAACGTATTAAGACATACGAAAATTCTATTTTACGACTGTGCTGCTTCAGATGCGAATATGGTCTTCAACCCCAAGAGTTCATTTTTTTTTCTTCTAATTTTAAAAGATGTTAAGGTATTTTTTGTGAGCCGTGAGAAGGCCTATGGCAGTGTGTGTAATGGGTAATTTGACCTTGCCCTGCCCTCTAATCATGGAGGTCAGGGGCTATTTTATTTCTCATCCATCCCTGCATTTCTTATTCTCTCTCTGGAGCCTTGGGGACTCAAGAAATATCTGTTGAACTGAAACTTGTATTCCTCATCGCTTAACATCACGCCCGAAACACAGTAAACCCTCCACACGCTTGTTGACATGAAGCATGTGACAAGGCATGGCATCAGAGCACAGAATTTTTAATTGCCAAGGAAATTTTTATTTTAATTTTGCATTAACATTAGAACAAAGTTCTAAGAAAACTTTACCTGATACAACCACTTTACAGATAGCATTTTTCAGACATGGGCTAAATACTTTTCCTGTTTCTTTACTTTTCCCTGTATGCCCTTCGGGGCAAATCTGACGTCTGTTTCCTTTCTTGAATCCTTTAAACTACCTCGATACGTAGGCTGTGATTTTGCTTTTCATGCAGCGTTACTGACCTTGTAAAATAATGCCTGTCTATGTGTTACTAACTGCTTAGCTTGTAACATCTATGAAATGCTAGGAATATAAAGATTTTTTTTTTAGATAATTTGTTTAAAGCTTCAAAACCCACAAAGGTTTGGACATACACCTCAGGAGGTCATACCAAGGGGATGCTTTGAAAGCAAGTAGTTATGCCTTACCACTTTGTAAGAAATCCAGGTCTTAAAGAAGGTTAGGTCTCTCTTGGACAAAAGAATTCATATTTACTATTGTACATTCCAACCAAAACTTTCACATGGTAAATGGTTTGAAATCTAAGATAATAATGGTTATTGCCAATAAACCTGACTTTCAAATCCTCTGAAACATAATGGTGATCTAAGGTACTCTGAAGCAAATATTTTAAAGTTTGTTTTACCTCTGGAGGTGTATGTGTCCTTCATTTGCTGTTAACACTGTACAGATTAAACAATTAATTCTATACATAAATATGTATTCACATAATCTATAAAAGTGCTTCAAGTTATTCAATCCTCCAACACACATTCCCACATCATAAAGTGTTTTCTGAAAGTGCATGTGCCTAGAATATGTTAAACTTAGAGTAAACATGATCATATTAAAACATAAGTTCCTTATAGTGGCTTTAAATAGCTTTTCCACAATAAGATCAGCAATAATCCTAACACATTATTAACACGCTGGCGCGCTCTTGAACAAGAATATTTCCTAAAACAATACGACAGATTTTTGGCAATTTCTCGAATGAGAAATCCACATTAGAAATAAGAATCCTATTTGCTTTCCAACTTTCAACCATTCCCGGGGGAGGGTAAAAACTCACTTCTATTTTTTAAGAAAAAGAAAACAAAGATTAAAATTTGAACTAGCAGACCTTAAAGGGGAAGTGGGGAAATGCTGTTGGATCTTGGAAATTCTTCAGTGAGAAACAGAGGAAATTAGAGTCCAGTGTCAGAAAGTCTAGGACGCAGCACACATTCTCTCCACTGGGCCACGTGGGGTCTGGGGACTCCACTTATCTGTACTCTCCTGGAATTGAACAAACGAGGGGCGAAGGTGGGATGCTCAGACGTGTTCACAGACGAGACTAATGGTAGGCAGATGGACGGCAGTCCCTTTCGACCCATCACTAAAGGAATCCACGTGATATTGTTGCAGGATGTACAGCGTCTAAAGGGGTGACAAGAACACTCTCCACACAGGTGAATTCTTTCTTCGGGAGGGGCTGGTGGTTCAGACTTCGGCATTCTCTCCAGCTGTGCCACTCTCAGCCAATCTCCTCAGTGACCCAGCTATGCCTTATCCCTTAATTACTGAGGTTGGGGGAAATGGAATTAAAACAAAACCTACATCTCACTGCAGATTGGAAACATAGATATTTCTCAGCCACAGGATAAGACCACACAAAACAAAGCACTTACATTAAGTACTGTTCTCACATCATTAAATTCTGCAAGAAATAAAGATATCACCCTCATGCGTATGGATCATGGACTGCTTGCGAGTGTTATTTTTTCCCAACAAAATACCACACTTTCCGTGCCATTCATTCTGAATTATGTTGGGAGGGATTCCTTGAATTGTAGCACCCTCAAAATGGCCTTCTAGCTCAGAATTTCCAGTCATCAAAGAAACAGTAGAAACCAAATATAATACTACAAATTATGGGATGGAAATCCGTACAGGTAAGATTTGTCTTGGCATTATTGCTCCTGAAGGATTTCACAAAAAGTCCATTGCACAAACAAACCTATCTGTGAGCTTCTATTGTTTTTACCTAAATACTGATAAGCTTCTAGTTCCGTATTTTAAATATCTTAACCTTCTCTAGGAAAGAGATAAACTGTGTATATAAAAATATATATAAATATCTTCAATAGCATTTAATATGTGTTTTAAATAATACCGATAATAATTGCCTTCCAATAACTAAATTGGAACATACCATCATCTATTATTGGTAAAGAAGATGGTCCTTTATTCATTATCAAGCTGCATATGTTAAGATTTACTAAACACTTTTTAAACAGAATACTTTTATTGGTGCACTAAGGGAATCATGTGGGCCATTGCCTCACATCAGATTGTGGAATAAAGACGCCTCATACCACTGATCATAGACATTTGCTGAGGGGTGAACAGCTTACCTTTTGCACCTTCCTACTATCCGTCTGCACTGGTGTTGGACATACTCATTGGAATGCCCTCTATCTCATTTAAGTGAGTCCAAGAACTTTGGCCATGGAAGGCATAAGTCAACATTTGTCTCTCTATATACTGCAAACCTTGATTTTTTTCTCTGGGGTAACTGTGGGGCTCTTGGTGGAGCCTTCAGGTGATGAGATAGAGAATCGATCCTAATCCAAGGTACTGACAGAGCTGGCTTTAACCCAGTGCCGTTCCCAATGTGCGTCTGTAATGGAGGAGCTGGAGCGGGCACCGAGCATTTTTCTTGGCCCCAGACGCACAATGGCTAATGGCTCACTGTTCTATCTTGTTTTTCTCGGTCACACTGGCAAGATAGGCCGGAGGAGGAACAACACATCTGAAGCCATGGCTTCCAGAGGATGTTTCCCAGTGACAACTGATTGGGGACCTCTTGCAGGGTCTTGGTGTGGTGGTCTGCGGCTTGCTGCATGGCGTCCAGAATCTCCTGGAACCGGGGCTCAGTCGTCAGGGTTACTGGGTTTCTCTCTCTCGGATCTTTGGAAATATCAAAGAGTAAAGGTGGGTGATGGTGGGTGACGAAATGCCCATGACAGAAACACACGTGTGTAGAAAAGCATCCATTGGCGCCCTCGGGGGTGAACTTGGGTGTGAAGAAAAAGGCTTTCCAGATGGACGTGCCTGCGGTTTACAAGGACAGAAGTTCGTGTCATGTGGAAAGCGTCATTATATTCACCACACATGAGATCATGCACAGAAATCACGCTGCTATGTGCTTTAAGAAGGCAAAGAATTTATCATTCAAATGTGGATGAAATGTATGTATTTCTCATGCTTAAGGCTCCAAAGAGTAAGAGCCATAGCATAATAAAAACCCCCAAAACAAAAAACATGCATTATTATCTGCGAAAGAATACAAGATCCAACTGATTAAGTGATAGCCGCCATGATGCAAATTTAGACATATTAGAACCATGGCATTATCTTCTTATTCAGAGTCTCTCTCTCTCCTCTCTCCCTCCTTCTTCCCTTTTCACAGTCCCTAAATTCTTAGGCCATGCTGTGCTGGTCAGAGAGGAAAAAGCCTATTCATTGTTTGAGCACAGAACTCAAACAGGACTGTCATTTTAGGCTAATAAACTTTAGAGCTTGGGAATGTATAGCAGACACTCAATAAATATATATTGACTATCAGATTATAAGCTCCTAGCTGTGCCACCTCTTCCACTCAAACTTCAACATTTTAAACTTGTATCCTGTATTTCTGTAGAAAACAAAACGGAAGGCAGAGGCAGTCTCAATGCTAACATGTACATGAGAGATGATAAAACTGCACATGTACGTGTGCACAAACACACACACACACACACACACACACACACACACAAGGAGCCATCAAGAACAATCTCAAACCAGCTAGGACCTCAGTTCACCTTTTATTTTCCCCGTTTTGAGAAAGCCCAAATGTATCAAACCCAGAATGAAGAGAGTCTAGGAGTGAGGATGGGGAGGGACTGCAGATGGTTAACAGAGATGATATTTTGGGGGTGAAGGAAATGTTCTCATATTAGATTGTGACTAGAGTTCCAGAACTCTATACATTTACCAAAAAATTTTTCAATTGGAATTTTATGATCTGTATATTATACCTTAATAAGGGTGTTAAAAATTCCAAATTAGGGGAATTCATTGACCCAAGAGTAGGAGGGTTAAATAGTTTTTAAAGTGTAAGATCTGTGTTCCATTAAACCCCCAAATATTCAAATTTTTAGGAAAAAATTGATTTTCAAACAATTATGAAATAATTGATTTCCTGTTTATTCCACAATATTATGACTTTCGGAGGAGCTAACTGCTAATCAAACATCGTCTGATAGAGGCCTAAAAACTGCTTCCTGGGTATGAAAAGGTGGCAGATAAAAACAGAGAATTAACGTCCACAAACCAACTGGAATTAGGTGCGGAATGTGAACGTCCTTTTTCGCATTATCCTTACAGTTTTTTGACATAAAATCATAGAGATTTTCCCACTAGGTAGCATCACACACTTATTTAATTTGCTTTGATAATTTGCTTGTATAATGACAATGGTGACTTATGTGATTATAGGTATTTAGTGACCAACTGGTCCAAATACAAAATAAATTAATGGGATCAATGTAAAACAACTGTTCTGGGTGTCTGTGTAGTCCCCAAAGAGCCCGTGACCTCAGACAAGCTTATTCAAGGGAACGCAAGACTCTTTGTGTTTTTTGGGGAAGAACTAGGAAACATCACAAGCAACGTGGATATGTTACTGATGACTCTATTGAAGGGGATCTGTAACAGGATGCCTCCATCTGTGGCTTAGTCAACGCTGCGAGAGGCAGGACATAACGTCTATGTTAATTTACACGTGCTCCGCACATCTGCCTTTTAAAGACAAGTCAGGCTGACGTGCAGACACGCTATGCTGCAGAAAGAATTCCTGGACACAGTTACTGCCTGTAGCAGAGTTTAAAAAGGAAGTGGGTGACCTTAAGATTCTTCACATCAACTCCTCTCATTCCCCTTTCCTCCCAGAGACGACAGATTTCCTTTAGAAGCCTCTTCTGTGACACTGCAGCCACTTAGAATCCATCTTCAGTCAGGGTCGGCTGGGGCAAGGCTGTTACAGAGAGAGGCGTGTGGGAAGAAGCCTCTTCTGCTCTTTCTCTGAGTGCTGCAAATCTGGAGGGTGTTTCGAACTTGACATTCGAGTCAAGTCTCGGTGTGTTTAAAACCCCAAGAGAGTGCAGGCTCTTGGAACAAATTCATTTGAAGGGCCTGTATCTCCCACTTGACTTTTGAAAGCCACTCACATGGATTCTGTTATTACAGCCTTAGCTCAATCCTGCCCAGATGTGAACTGGAAGACCGACTGAAAGGCCAGTCAGTAAACCTTGGGCATTCTTGCCTGGGAAGAGCACTGGTGTTGCTACGTAGCTCGGATGAGTGTAGAATTAACAATTGACTTTCCTGAAGATTTGTTTGCTATGCTATACGGGTGTTTGCCTTTTTATCTTCTACTTTGAATTTTTAAAACTTTTTATAAAAAGATAGATTGCTTATTCTCCATAGTAGTTCTTTGGAGCAGGTTGGAATTGCTCAAATGAGAGAAGTGGGACTGCATTTTATCGCCTGTAGGTTCACAAGATATGGGGACTTACTTCAGGACTCTGTTCTGTTATTCACCAGAAACCCAGGTATGGACATCTTCAAAGGCGTCAGTTCAAAGGAAAAGAGTAAATCCTGGTCATGCAATAAAATAGGAGGCACCTGATGTCATCTCACATTTCCAATAGGTGATATTTAGTTCTGTCTTCCAAAATTATTTTGATAATGTATTTCATCCTGGATTTCTCAATATACTAGGAAAATGTTGGGTTTTTAAAAAATATTTTTTCTCTACTGTTAAAATTCTAGTCTACTCTAAAAAAGATTGTTTCTTTCTCACCCCTGTAACAGATATATCTTTTGACCACAATGGGATCTTAAACTCATTTATAACTGAGATCCAATGATCTGGAGAAACTATTATTAAATTTTATAGTGAGAATACAGAAAAATTAAATGGGACATTTTTTTTCTTTTTTATTGATGAGGAAGATTAGCCCTGAGCTAACATCTGTTGCCAATCGTCCTCTTTTTGCTGAGGAAGATTGGCCCTGGGCTAACACCTGTGCCCATCTTCTTCTACTTTATATGGGACGCCGCCACAGCATGGCTTGATGAGTGGTGTGTCGGGGTGCACCGAGGATCTGAACCCAAGGCCGCCAGAGCGGAGCACGTGTGCAGGCGAACTTAACCACTATACCACCGGCCCCTTAAATGGGACATTTTTTAAAAAGTATTCTAAGCAGTGATGAGAACAATATTCTACTGAGGTTTAAAAAAATTAAGAGAAATAATTGTCACAATTAACAGGCAAAGATGTCAATGACATATTATAGTTAGACTACTGCCGTGTCACTGTAATACAAAACACTGAAAATCACCACCCATCTGGTGAAACATTTTTATGTAAAATCACCACTAACAAAATATGATTCAATTCACAAAAGAAAGTTTATAGTCCTTTGATAGAAAGGCAAATAGAACTTAAGTGAGAAAAGTCAGACCCTGATTCAGCAACTTCCAAGTATAATCCTAAAACAACTATTTCATCAAAATGAACATAAGCTATGAGACAAGCTGAATCACGTGGTTTTGGGGTTCCCTGGGGATCTGAGGGGCGTATGATCCCAGAACAGGAAAAATTGTTGTGACTTTGATTACTTCCAGGTTACAGGAACTCAGCCACAGGAAGGAGTTCTGGGGCCACTTGGCAGAGAAGCCCCAAGAATGAGCAGACGTGGTCCCAAGGAGAAAAGCAGAGAGGATGTGAAGTGCATATGGCAACGCTACTGCTTCTCTGGAAAGAAAGGAGCTGAAACGTCAAACCTGAAATTTAGTTATGTCCTAAAATTAAAAAAAAATCACTATCACTATGCAGCACATGCTCCTTCTTGACCTTTTCGAGTCGGATCACGCTCCGCTCCTTACAAATCTAATAATGTCCTCCTGGAGAGGGTCCTCAAGGCTGCATTCGTCTTTATCCCAAGGACCCTGGGTGCTTCGGGCCTCTCATGATGAGACAGGAATCTCGCGCTGCATCCTGAATATTGGATTTGGCAGCAGTAGCAGCCCTCAACAGAGCTCGCAGAATCCAGGCCCCCAGGACACTCTCCATTCTAGGCCCCTTTGAATTTCCAAGCTGCTGCCCTGCAGAAGTCTCAGTGCCACCGTATGAGAGAAAATAGAGCCGATTTGGGAAAACTCTTCTTGTGTGCAAGTATAAATGTTGCACCACAGCAGATGAGCAGAAATGTCACACATCACTACAGCGCAATTTTGGCCCCTGTTTCTAACCTATGCAGGATGAAGAAAGGTGCTCCCAACCTAAAACTTTGATGCCACAAAAATAAGATTTTTCCCTCTGTCCTGGAGATGATGGAGTCCCCAGATAACCCACCTGCTCCTGCAAATTTCGCAGCTTCCCTGCAGTTAGGTGAGGCCCTGTGATGAGTTCTTACCAAACAAGAGCAGAATGTGACACATCTTTCCCAGGCCAAAGCACAGAAAAGCCATCTCTTTTGCTGGTGACATTGCAATTTACAGAGCCTCTGTCAGGGTGGTCCCCCGAGTGACTCAGGATGGCTGAGTCCCTTCCTCCTAGACACCCACCTCTACACCATTAACAGGACATCTGGTAAAGTCTGGAGACAAGTTTGGTTGTCACAGTTGGGGGCTGATGGGGTTGCTACTGGTATCCAGAGGGTAGAGGTCAGAGATGCTGCTCCATGTCCTATGATGCACAGGACAGCCCCCCCAACCAACCACAAAGAAGTACCTGGTCCCAAATGTCAGTGGTGCCCAGCTTGAGAAAATCTTGTATATGGCAGGAGTGAGAATAAACCTTTGCTGGGTCGAACCCCTGAGATCTCAGGGCTAAAGGTTATTATGGTATAACTTAGCGTCTCCATACTCAGATAATATCTGAGAGTTAAACTATAAAATGAAACAAATCTTATTTTTATTTATTTTTTTATTTCTCCCTGAGAAATCTGTTGCCAATCTTCCTCTCTTTTTGCTTGCGGAAAATTAGCCCTGAGCTAACATCC